CCCCCCGGCCGGTAAAAAACTTCCAACCAGCCGAGGCGCGCACAGCTGCTGTATCGAATGCGGAGTTGACAAGACCTCAGCTGAGTCACCAACATGCCCGGGGCTTTTGCTGTGTTCCTAGAGACCCAACACCGACAGTGCCAGAGAAAACAGGGAGCTTGGAGAGAGCTGAGGGTGCCGACATGCAAACTAAACAAAATCAATTTCCCAATTAATGAGTGTATGCTTGACGGAGGGGGGTGCTTCCCCCCGTGACGTGTGTGCATCCAGAGGAGACTCGTGAAGATATGCGTCTCAAACAGAGATTTAAGTAAGTATGAAAAGCACTATCACGCCCTGCTCCGCTGCCAGGGGAAGCATCACCAGCTCGTACTTAGACCTCTGCTGAGCAGGCAGGCGGTGACTATCCGTGCAGAGAGGCTTGAACATCTGACAGTCTGCTACAGCTGGGAGTGCCCATCTTCTGTGCTCGCTGGTACAGATCCGAGTCTCCGAAGTAGCGTGCCCGGTACAACAAGCCTTCCTCTGCAAAGGGAAAAGCCCAGCGTTACGAATGCGATGTGGAAGGAGACCCACCCGCCAGGCCACGTCCCACCACGGGCTCTGCTGGGAACAGGAGGCACCTCAAGTTCTTCAAGGCTAGCTGAAGCACAGGATGAGGCTGAGGAAATGCCCCGTGCCCTTTAGGACAGGATGGGCGTAACATCTGCTGACAGCTCATCCATCCCAGGGAAAGCCTTAGGAACCTGACGGGACCTGCCCCTCGTCCCAGGAGGCACATGAGGCAGCCTACACAAAGGTTACCCCAGCAGCACGGGGAAGAAGAAACGTAGAGGCTCAGAGCTCGGTGCATTGGCCTCATCTGGCACCACTGGGGGCTCTAAGAGCCCCTCCTGCATCCCAGGCGCTCAAATCCTACCCCGGCCACTGCTCCAAGAGCTGTGATCATCACCTGCTGGGAATGGGCGGGCACAGAAGTCAGGTCGCCCCCGGGACTGGGCAAACAGTTTGCTGCCCTCGCCACACTCTGCTGCCTGGCTGGATGGCCAGATCATCTCTCACGCCGTCTGGCTGGGTAGCCGTCCCTCCTAACCCTTCAGCCTTCAGCAGCATGCAAGGCCATGTCAGTGCTGCCACCACAGCCTTCTGAGCAGGGATGGGATGCAGGATGGAGGACACCATGGGCAGCACACTTTCAGACATGGTCCTCGAACAACTAAAATATTACGCAGAGCTATTGGGGGCCTCCTGAAAATGAGATGGCTGCAACCTTCCCCCTCCACTGGAAATCAGAGATACCCTACTGACATGGCAGGGAACCTCCGGGGCACAACTCCTGTCTGACCAGTTCTACAGCAGCATTAAAAAACAAAACAAAACAAAAAACCCCACATACCGGATTTGTCACAAAGTCATAGACAGAAAAAAAAGCCAACAACACATGAAATGTGCTCACACCACGTTAAAGTATAACTTTAGCATAACTCAGTCCCCAGTAAAAGACCTTTCCGAAGCCAACCTCATGCAGTAGCCAAGACCCTCTGCTTCTGACCCCACACTACTCACTCTGCTGCTTCTCTTTCCAGCAGTTATTTCGAAGGTTTGCAATATAGTCGTCCTCCACACTCCTTTCAACATTTTTCAGGTTCGTGCCCGTGTATTCATCTGCAAAGTTCTCGGATACGTAGTAGACGACTTTCAAGTGCTCTGTCACTCTCTTGTGTATGTGACCCACAGACCTATTTCAGGGAGAAGAGCCAGAACAGTGTAGGGCACGCTTCAAGGGCAGAGCAAAAAGCTCTCAGCTCTTTATAATGCACAACATGCCACAATACCAAACCGCTGAAAACATACTCCTATGCGTCCACAGACTTGAAGGTTTGGAAAGGAGAAGCATTTCTGGTGGAAATGGAACGCCAACACAGGGAGAGAAAACCTGCCAGGCCTCTAGCTAGGTGGGCAGAGCTCTGAATACAGACATAACTCTAAGGCAGATTGCCCAAGGCCTAAACCCACTTAAAATAAAGTGTTCATTAGAATTTTCAGCACTAATTAAATCTCTCTGCAATTTCCTTGCTGACGACACCATCTGTTTTTGGCAGTGAGCCCCAAGGATGGTTACAAAGCTCGGAGGTTGATGCTTGTGCGGTGCAGGGTGACAGCAGCCAGTGTGGCAGAATGGTGCCTGTGCAGAGGAGCACGGCAGCACCGAGGTGAAGGCAGAGCAGGGGCTGGCTGTCACAGCTCCCCAGCAACGCCCCCTCGCTCAGCAAGGCTGCCCATCGGTCAAACCCAGTCCCCTCTGCTAAGATATCTGCTAACTCCACGAGCGTCAGCTTCCTTTACCACATCACATGCTGCAATGAACACTGTTGCTGCAAGAACAAAATTAGACCCGCTCAGCACTCGAGTCTGCACCGACCAGTACAGAAAGCACTTTCTAGAAGGAAATCTCTTCTTACCCTACCCCTGTGGATTTGCATTTCAGACAGAGCCCTGTACTTATTTTCCCCAACGCTCCAGCAAACCTAGAGATACTCACTAAGGCGTGTTTGCAAGCTGTAACACAGGACCTGTGCCCAAACACTGGATTCATCAGGAACAGCTCCATCTGGAGACGTGCCCAAAGTTTCCCATAATAAATACCAGCTGGCTGCTGCATTAAAAGCGAGCCTGATTCTTAAGCCAGGTATAAACATTAACTCATCCGGCTCGCCCTTCAGTCTGATATCAGGGTTTACAGGAGTGATTCAAAGACTCCTGCACGTTTCATCAAGGTCCAGCACTCAGGGACGAGTGGTGGGTAATCGGATAGACTGAACATGACCGAAGAGCGCTCTTGGCATTTTTCGAGACAAAGGCTAACGCATCTCCGGCAGTGCCTGCTGGCAGAGATGCAGTCTGGAAGAAGCTCAGCCCACTATTTTACCTGTCAAGACAGAGCCCTAAGCTCTCCCAAAGTTCATATTCCTCTTCTGTATAAAGATGAATTACGGAGGCTACAAAGTGTGCCCTCAAAGGAGGAGTATTTAAGCTTGCAGAGCGTCAGCAGCATCCACTCAAGCATCCTTCAGTGTAAAGCATGAAAATAAGGGCAGTATCTGGCACAAGAAACCTGCCACCCGAAGTCAGACATGCAATTAAGTCTGGCAAATTCAATGAGGTGTTATTGAAGAGCAGGGTGGCACAGACAGTCCCACAACTAGACAGGTCTTTTGGCAGAAAGCTAGTTTTTGGAAGAGATTTACAACGGCAACGGAGTGACAAATGGTTCTTTAGGACTCTGCCTTTCTCAGTGACAGCTTCACTATCAAGAAGTGGCATTAAAATCTCCGTGTGCCATTAAAACCTCACCAGGTCCAAAAGCTTCTCGCCTTCTGCTCACTGAGTTCAGTGCAGCGAGCTCCAGCTTTCTGCCAAACGACAGCCAAGCACAGCACTTCCCTTTACATCAGGCAGCAAAAGGGGCCTGGCTGCCTGCGCGAGCGAGCAAGCGAGCAGCACCGCCTGCCGGCACAGCACGCCTTTTGCGAGCGAGCTAATTCCATTTGAAGTGCCTTGGTCACTCAGGAAGGATGACAGAGGACTGGATCAGCTCATTTGCCGCTCTTGCCCAAATCCAAACCTAGAAATCCATTTGCTTGCTGTTACCCGAGCACGCAGAGACAGGGACAGCACAGGGAATGGGGAACCGAGCAGCAGAGAAACACCTGGGGCTCAGGGATGGCTTTCCTCTGACAGCTGACAAGGCTGGAAGCAAACCCCAGCCCACTTAAAAGCTGCCATCCACTGAACGTCTTCTCACCCCATAAACCGCCTCTTCACCAGTATAGAACAAACTGGTATACATATATAATGCTTAATTTTATAGTCCTAATATCAACTGCAGAAATCACATCTCAATACTCTCTAGCCTCTCAGAATAACCCTTAACTGTGCCCTCTTCAAAACCGCTCCATCTTTCGGTTCCTAAGCACTAATGTCATAGTCTTTACCTTGGACCCGAAAGCTAAGCTGGGTTTTTATAGAATTTAACATCATCAATGGCAAATGTTGTCACCTGTGAAACTAAACAGGGCCCACTGGCTGTAACCAAGTCTACCCTCTTTAAATACATATAAGGAACTTCCACTGAAAATGCATTAAGCTTTTGTCAAGAATGATGCAAGCAGCCAGAAATCAAGCCTGTTTTCCCATTCTTTGTTGGCACTGCAAAGTGAGTAAGAATACTCACTTCATTTGTCGGCCAAGTGAGCAGACTGGGGCATTTCCACAGGATCTAGAATGAAACAGCTTCACTTTCGCATAGTAAATGTCTGGCCATAGCTATTTCATGGCAAGATTAGAGTTCAAAAATAGGAGATTTCTCTGGGAGTGTCTTTTACTCTACAGGAGTGTCTTCTATTCCTTCTTCTCTTCCTCTATTGCTTTGTACTTGGTATAAACTGAGGCTTTCATGAAGAACAGATCTGGCTTTTGTTTTTCACACCCCAATTTAACTCTACATCTCAATTCATCCTGCATAAGGGATCTCGGTGCTGGGCCACAGCCTCTCAAAGTCATTTCGTCTGTCCCTTTCTAGGACAGACACACCCAGCTGTGAGTATGGGCTGCAGAAGGTCCCTGTCAAAGAACATCCTCCCCTAGGCAAGTAAGCACCCTCCAACCTTCCCCACACCTTCCATCTCAAGACCTGTTTGAGAACCAGGAGGCCTTCACTGATGTGTGAGACATCTGGCAGCAAGAGCAACGGTGTGATGAGATAAAGGAAAAGAAAAAAAAAAGACAGAAAAAACAGAGAGCCTAGATCCCTACCCTGTCATGCCACCCTGCCCTCCAGAACCCAACCCCCTCCCCAGCTGGATAAGTTTTAGAGTAACAGGTACTAACGGTCTCTGGCTCAAACTGTAGGGTGGGCTGGAGACCATCATCTGGCTGAGAGCAGACACAATGATCAGGATGAGGATAGGCATCAGCTGGACAAACAACCCAAGGCCACCCTGAAGGAACAGAAACACACAGTGGAGTGCCACCCATACACTTGTACACAAGGATCCCATGGCATCGCTCTCCCTCCCTCCCAGCCCTAACACAACCTCAATTCTCCTGCTTTTTGCAGGCATTTGGCTTAGGAGGCATCTCAAAATAACTGGGGGGAACCCAGCAGCCCACAGTTCCCCTCCAGAAAGGGCAGCGTGACTCCAAAGGTCCAAACCCACTGCCCCTTCTCTGGATGTGACAAAGGGCAGAGGGGACTGGCAGGGGGAACCTTGTGAGTGAATTTCAAAAGCCTCAAGCCCGTATTTTGTTTTTCCTAGAGCATATATGGTTTCTGTCCTGCTTGTGCTAGGGAGCAGAACTGGTTTTATGGAGAGCCTTCTCCCCTCTTCAGTGTCAGATGAAAGTAATTCCCCCTCTACCTCACCTCCTGAGCTCCCTCCAGTTCCAGCAGAGTACACTTTCCCCTTTAAGCTTGAGAAAAAATATTCAGGAAATTCTTCTTGTTTGTTTGTTTAAAAAAAATATAATTGGCTATCCCCAGAAAATAGTAATCTTCAATACATAACCCTGGTCTCTTAAATAGTAAGTCCCTCATTCTCACTTCTCTAGACCAGAGGGCTTGGAGTGCTGGAGATGTACTTAGATTTTCTGTGATGGGAAAACATAAAAATAGCTCATGCTATGAAGTGTCTTCCTTGGTTAATTAAGCATCACAGATTAGAAACACCCCATCTTCAACACTGGAATAAAAGGGAGAATGAGTTCATGCTGGGAGGAGCCACGAGTATCCATATTATCTGAAAAGTGGATTTACCTTTTGAAATTACAGAATTAAATCAGAAAGGAAATGCTTATTCTGTGGTAAAGACAGGTACACTTTACTGGTGCAATCTTATTTCAAGGTGGCACTGTTTCAAGACACGCCAGCGTTTTCCCTGCTGGATGACAGCTATGAGAGTCCTGGGAGAACAACCACCAGTAAATTAAACCGCAACTTGGTGTAAATTCTGAAGGCAGCTCACTTCCCACGACCCCAGCTTTCTGTTCAGGGGAGTGGAAACAGGCAGGACTGTTTCACAAGACAGCCACACCAACTAGCTCGCAATTCATGTATCAGAAAAACCTTTAGACTCCCAGCCCCCTGCCTGTTCTCCACTTACGTCACCCTGATGTTCTCGTCTGTCCTGCCTCTGATGGTAGGTATATCGCATCCTGCCATTGCTGTATACGTGAACGTTACCTATAGGCAAAAGAAAACTGTTAAACAAAAGTCAGAGTAAGATGGTGCTGGCTGGCCAGGAAGGAACCACAAAAGGTGGCTGTGTTCCATGTCAGCCTCACCAATAAAAACACAGTAGGAAAAAGTAGACTGGGTGCTGACAACAGTAAATTCAGGAATTTTAACTTTGAACATTGTCAGAATGGGCTTGATCTGTTTCTTTGGTTCGGGCCACATTCAGCAAAGATATAATCCACGCTGTGCTCACACTTAGATCTGGTCTGCCGTTACCACTGCTCTCAGTTCAGCCTACTTCACGTAGCCAGCAGCATGCCAGCCAGTTCAGAGCTGGAAGAAGGACAGCACATCTGTCCGGCTGGGCTGCTTCCAGGCTGGAGCTGGGATGTCTCAGTGAAATGGTGATTTGACAGACTTGGGCTATTCCTGAGATCCCTGCATATGTCCCAGTGCACAAGGTGCACATCCATGGTTTTGGTCAGCAGGCCACACGGCCGAAGCCCCTGACTCAAGCCACTCCATCATGCTGTCTTGACAGAAATGGCTGTAGCTTTAGGGCGAAGTGGATATGGGACTCCACAGGAGACTGATAGAAGAATTCATACAAAAAAATTCTATTCATCACCTGAAGCCAACACTTACAAATTGAGCTATATAAGCCGCAGCTGAAAAAGGAGTATTCCTAAGGTGTACTGAGCAGGTATGTCTGAAGGCAAACTGGTGGTGGGCACAGACATCCGTCTATAGGATTTTGTAGGATCACATGAAAATTCAGGTTGGAAGTGGCCTCAGGAGGCCCAACCTCCTGCTCAAAGCAGGGTCAGCTATGTAGAGAGAATATCTTGTACAGGCCTCCTCGCTTCTAAGTGAATTTACTTTAGATTAAAACCAATAACAAAAAGAAAATTTTGGAGCAGGGTCACTATGTAGAGAGAATATCTTGTACAGGCCTCCTCGCTTCTAAGTGAATTTACTTTAGATTAAAACCAATAACAAAAAGAAAATTTTGGTAGTTTTTCCACCTAAAACCAGAGCTCTTCCATGTCTTGTTTTAAATGTCAAAACTACAGCTGAAAAGGGAGACCGGCTGAGAAAGCAGTCCTGAATTCTCTTGGGACAGTGAGGAAAGGAAAAAAAAACTGAGCTAAAATAGCAACCTGCTGTTTTTACTGGAGTAGCTTCACCTCTCTGACAGGCAGAACATGAATGCTGCAAAAGGCTTCAAGATGCCTTTGCAAGTACTTGATGTTAGTGTGTTAATTCTTACATACTGGATAGAAAGAGCTACCAGAGGAAATCTTCTCAATTGAAACAAAAATACTTATTTTTCCAAGTTGGTCCACAAAGGTCAAATAACCACTGCCCCGACTGCCGGTCAAATATGACTAGAGCAAATACAAGGGAGTCTTCTAAAATACACTTATCCTTATATTAAATCTGTGTTTTTTTGATCGGAACTGATCAAGTGAAGGAACAGTTACTTGGTTCTTTCCTGCTACCCAAACCACGATCAGCACTGTGGATAGACAGGATACAGATTTAATTTTCAATCCAAGAGGTTTAAATTATCCTCTAGAAATAACACTTTTCTCTTTTTTATGGGACACAGTGGAAAGAAGGAAGTGGACACTGATCTCGAAGAGACTGCTTCAGCTGCATGGCAGAGCAGATACAGATCAAGAACAAGGCCCAGGCATTACCATAGTTTGTTCTGATGAGAAGATTTAACTTCTAAAACCACCAGGCAGAAAAGCCTTCTTCAAAACAGGATTATTTTTACAACTAGCCTTAAAACAAGTCATTTTTTGTTCTAACATTCAACCCAACCTAATAACAGCTGATGTTGCCAGCATGCAAACAAATACCTGAAGTTGGGAAGAATTCCAGCTCTGATGGTATTACCTGCTGGATGCCGAGTTCTCCAAGTACCCATCTGAACAATTTAGAAAACTCTAGGTGTTTAGGTCATGTGTGAAGGAGAACTCTCTCTCATCAAACTCAGCAATCCTTGCACGGCCAAATAAATCACTACTGCATTGTTGCTCTGTCAAAAGGATCGGATCCCATTCAAGAGATTAAGGTTTAACGTGCTTACTAGAAGGAAAACCACCACCAAAAAACATGTTGAAGAGGTCCTCAGGGGAGATGTCTGCCTCAAACCCGCGGTGGAAGTCCGAGTGACTGTGTCCGTGCCGAGCAGGGTTGAGTTTCTCATCTCCAAACTGGTCATATTGCTTCCTCTTCTCTGGGTTGCTCAACACTGCATACGCATTACCAATGGCTGAAATATTGACAATAAGGAAGCAATTAGCTTCTTTCTTCTACAGATAAAACATTTAGCCCCGCAAACTGCCAGGACTTGCCTTTCTCATTACACAAATGAGATTCTCAACTACCCACGTCTTTTCAACAGGCTACTTCAGCGGCGCAGCACTAGTACCTGGCATGCTTCTCTAGCAAACACAGATAGAAGGAAACCACACCAAGAGACTCGATGAAAAAGGCCTTAATTAATTCAAATGAAGAAGTTATGATATGACTGGTATGAATTCGGTGTACGTCCCTAGAGAAACCCTCTCAAATGAATGAAACTATGAATTGCGAAGGCAATACTGGTAGTAGAGCAGTTACACGTTTCACTTAATGAAACTTGTTATTTCTTTTGAACAACTAATGCCCAAATCCTTCAGCCGTAAGCAACTGTATAGGAAAATACAATTTTAGTTGACAAATTTTATTCAAAAGTGGCATTAAGGGAATTCAATGTCATAGCCTAAAACCAGAACTGCAAAGAATTTAAATACGGAAGATCACTGAAAGAGACTTTAAAACCTCCCATAAAAGCTAGTAAGGAAACGTTGGCTATAATTTGTGTCTGTCAGCTATGAACTTCAAAATTTCCAGATGCCAGAAGTAAGGTGCATAATTACAAGGACTGTTAACCAGTGCCTGTGACAGTGGAAATGTACTGGAACTAAACCCCCACCACTTCCCCAGGTCACTCTCCTTCCACTCTCAGCATGTTTGAGCCTTTCTACCAGAATGTCTGCCTGCCACCCTCCTATTTCTGTACTCCTCTCTCGACACGTTCCAGCTTACCACTTCCCCTCTGTGCCAACCTACCCAAGAGCCTCCCTACGTGACTGCAGAGCCTATCCTCTCTCCTCCCTGTGTTGCAAAGAGGCAAAAATCTTCATGGCAGTAGTTGCCTGGTGTATAAAAGGCAGAGGCAGAAGTGATAGAAAAGGGAGATACATGCCCTTTGGAGGAGATTAACTCCAAGATTCAATATTTTCCCGGTAGTCAGATCGAGGTGTACGGTTTCTTCTTGGGCTAGAGATTTGGAGCATGGAGGATGTAATGTCAATACACTTGTTCTCCTTCTTGGTTATAATTAGTGCACACAGATCAAACATTTCTACAACCAGGCAAGGAAGCCAGACAACAAGGACTAACTCTCAGCGTATTAGCTTGTTCTTTCAAACTGTGTGGTTAAGCAACGAAAATGGAGCGGTTCAGGGTTTTGTTCGCTGTCTGACTTTCTGCTGACAAAGCCCAAGAAACACCTTATTCCAAATCAGGATTTTAGCTCAAAGTAGCCAGGTTCAACTCTTTTTCCAACGTCAGCCAAAGGTAGTGATGCAAATCTGCTGCAAGACAGACTGCAGCCAACTGCAACTATGGACTGAAACAAGGTCTCAGGACAAGATGTAATGCTTTATCAGCTGTCACTGGGAAGATGAATGCCAAGACTTCAGCTAATACATCAATGTAAGAAAAAATTAACTAAAACCCTCATAGCGGTGCACATTTCCCCCTTCACCCTCTGGAACCAAACAGCTGGACTTCAGCGAGCCCTGCAAACTAAGAGCTCAGCTCGGGGGCTGAAGGACGGGAGAGCCAACGAGGCAAGGCTTGGAGGGGAGATAATCTGAGAGCAGATAGCTCTGTGGTGGAGGATAAAGGGCACCTTGCTTAACGCACGGCTTCTGGCATGTAACTCTTGTCAAAGCCTTTGGCAAACATCATTATTTAAGATTACAGGTGAAGAAACCTGCCTTTCGCCACTTAGCAAGGACTGAAGGATAAACTATCGAACAGCAGCTTACTGCACATGCAGTGTAGATAGATGTCTGCAGATGCTCACTCTTTAATCTGGCACCTATACTAAAACAGGCTCTCCCAAGTAGCTGGGGGTCAGCTCATTATTTGCTAACAGCAACACACTTATCAGTTATGGATTTAAGTCTTAAAAGACTTGAACAAACCTTACATAAGACTTTTACTGCTGAATTCATGCCTACTAGAAGCTTACCCGAATACTGTATCAATATACTCACACCAGGCTAGCCTTGCTCCCTGCTCCAGCAGAAGTCTCATGCATTTCACTCCCAAGATGGCCGGAATCAGACCACAGTATTTAAATGGCTTAACACTGCAAAATCAGTGCTGTACAACTGGCACCAAGAAGTTCTCCATTTAGCTCAACGATAACAATCAAACTTCCACAGCTTGCAAAGGAAAATGGGGTTATATGTTCCAAGCAATAGCATTTCCCTTGGAAAATTACTCCAGTTTTAAGGTATCTTATTACCCAGGAAACATCCCTGCTGCATTTGTAGAGAGGCCCTGAGAATCGGGCTCTTTACAGCAGAACTGAAGCTCCTGGTGACCTTTTTTGCACTCTGGCTGGGCTCAGCCGTATGGCTGGGGCAGTTTCACCCTAGAAATTTTCACCTGCGGTTTCTATCCACCAATTCCGTCCGCAGCCTTTCGCAACAGTCAGCTGCCGAGTGCTTCCTTAGAAACCTGAAGGCTTACTGGCTGCCTGAAATGCTGAATGAGTGGAAGAGTCTAAATACCAGTTCTGAAGAAGACTGAGTTTCCTGCCATCGGGCCTGCCTGGCAACATTTCTCCCAAGGGATTCGTGAACCCAAGGGCTGCCTCTGGTGCTGCACAACTTACTGGGTTTCTACAGGATTTGTCAGTAGACGGGGATGCACCCCAGCACCTGCCCTGTGCTGGATGGCTGCAGGACTTGGAGCTTCCCCCTGCTAGGTGAATGCTCCTGCATCTCTCCAAAAAAAAGGATGGTTAACATCCCAATTTCCTCCTGAGCAGCGTGGCAGGAGGCTGGAGCAACACACAGGAAGGGCTGCTAGGAGAAAGGGAAGGAAGGCTTCTCCTTGTCCGACTACCAGAGGTTAAGCCTATCCATGCCAACCTGTGTTTATTATTTTAAGCTTAGAGAATACTTTGTTCATAATACAAAGCTCAGAAGAAGAGATACAACTTTACTAAGAAGAGCTTTATTTCACTCTACCTGACTCGTGAGGTTGTTTAAGAGTCCTTGCTAGCCCAGCTCAGCACCACTGCCTGATAGTTGAGGGCAAATCACAAAGTTGGAAATGTTCTTTACCTTTAAATGCCTCGGTAGCCCCTGGTGCGTGGTTCTTATCTGGGTGAAATTTCAGTGCAAGTTTCCGGTAAGCCTTTTTCAGGTCCTCATCAGAAGCTTCTCTGTTTACTCCCAGAATTTCGTAGTAATCTTTGCATTGCTTTACCCTGCCAGTAGAGAGGGGAGAAAACATGGACAGTTAGTTTCAGCTGTGAGAACCACTTTGCATTGAATACGTCAACTCTGCAACATCTCACGCATCACAGTTTTGATCAATGTTGTTCAGTGAACTCTGGTTTACTCAGCTCTAATTCCTCAGAGGGTGTCCCATTTTTTTTCACAGACTCATTCCCGCTGTGCCTGCATTACTAGCACACAAACACTCTCACAGAGCAAGTCAAGCCAGTAGAGGTAGAAGGGCCTCTCCTCAGGCAATGATATCAACTGCTGAAGAATGTGATTGGCAAATAAGCTTCAGATTCATCATGCTCATGTTTTGGAGGCTGTCTGGGAGGGACTAGAAACAGCAGGCCGGGATCTGAAGGATAGCTGGGCTATTGGCTTTTCAACCCCCTTCCTCAGATTCAGTTAATTCACAGACTTAAAAATAACATCAGCTAAATTCTAGAGGAAGAAAGAGGGAGCTGCCCAAGCCTGTATGAGCAGCCCAGCTCGTTCTGGGTACACTCGCAGCCCAGTGATGGTTCCTCCTTCTCACATGACTTCGACGAGACAGAATACAGCAGGCTGGGTTTTTGGAGAAATGGATGACGTAACAAGCATCTCCGTAAGTCCATTAGCCAGAGCAGTTCTTGCGCAATTCAGATCATGCCCATAACCTTAAATAAAGTCTACCAAGTGACTGTGCCTGCAGTTCAGAACTTCCAGTATTTGCAAATGGCAGAAAGGAATAAAGAACAGCTTGAAACAGGGATGGGAAAACAGGTGACTAGATAAACATGTCCTGGGACTTTCCAGCAGAAGCTTTAGAAGTGCATTGTGCTAACAGAGTGAAGCGTCCTGTGGCAGATTTCTACTTTATTGGGCTCTAAGAGAGACCATGAGCAGAATATCATCAGGAGAGAGGAAAAGGGATATGCCCTGTCACTTGCTACTAGAGCAAAGCTTAGAGCAGGAGGGCTGCCTACTGCAAGCTATGAGCCATGACTTCCACCTACAGGATCTCAGGACCACATGGGATTTTTCACAGTATTATTGAATAACACTAAAACAAACATTAATGTTAAGTCCATGAGATGAATGCATCCAAAATGCCTCTTTAGACCTCGGCCTGGAAAAGGCCTACGTGCCTACAGTTCTAGCCCTCATACATGCCTTTGGGGGAAAAATCTCATCCCTCGTAGACCCAACCCAGCTGCCTCCCAGGGCTGCTGTAGCTATAAATCCTCCTAGATACCTTTTTAAACACCTAGTGAATTAAAACCCACTCGATATGGTTCAAAGCTGACCAGATCTCCTCACATGGCACAGAACATGAGCTGTTGTCCAACTCTACCTACTCTTTCTGCCTTCCTCCTTCATGTTCCACCATTACATCTTTAAAACATTGTGAAAAACAGACTGTTATCACATGATAAACTCAAACTGCAAGCTGAAGCCGTGGAGAGCTGCACACACACCTCTTCACTGCATCCACCTGGTCCTGAGTGTAGCCCTTGGGGGCCTCCCCCCCAGCCTCTCCGTTGGCCGATGGGAAGTCTCCACTCATTTTCTTGAACTGAGGATTTGTGGACTCCCTGGATTGGGACTGGCCATTGGCTGATTGCTCATTCTTGAGTGATTCAAGCAGAACTGAAATGAGAAAAAGATGAAAAGAAAAAAAAAAGAAGTTAAGAGACCGCCAAGCTCAACCTGCCCTTCCCACTCTCCCATAAAGAGACCCCTCTTCATCTCTGCCACTGCTCTAAGATCCCCCACCCTTTGTCAGAAGGACCCTCACCTTTTCACCCAACCCTTGAGCTCCTGCTGCTTCTTGCCCAGATGTGAGGGCTACAGCTGTAGATATTGCCTGCTTCTCCCAACGCACGCAACCTCCACCAAAATCCCAGGCCTACCCAGCCGGACAGTCCGGGAGCCACAGTGGATCACCAAAGCAGCGCATTCTTCTCCTCTCCTTTTTTCCCCACATCTGTCCTTAACAGCGAAGCATTTCCATGTTTGTTCTCTAGCATATTATAAAGCATATTATTCTTCTTTATCTCCTGCTTTTGAGAGTCTACTGCGCTGGGTAAATTATGGGATAATGCTATATCTTCAGAGAGCTTAGAAAATAATACCATGGGATGCCAGTCACATGGGGACACAGGGACGCTCCCCTTTTGGGGACAGAGAGCTGCAGCACTGATTGCTGGCAGCACAGTAGGACCCGTAGCACATGAGTCAGAAGCGTGCTTTGTTCTCTTGCGCTGCCTTACCTACGTATTTGATGTGTGTAGAAGAAGCTGTGAAAACCATCTTCTCTCTCAATTACCGAATATGAATTGCACAAACATGGTTTCCCTTTTCTTAAGTGGGGTGCACATGTGTATTGGGTAAACTGCTGCGGACTATCACCTCCTCCTTGCAAGGCTCAGAGACTCTGACACTCAGACAAAGGCTCCTCTGTCCTTTTCAGCCAAGAGGGGTCAAACATTCAGGCCTGGCGTAACAGCACAGGTGACAACACTGTGAAACCAACTGAGACTCCTCCAAGCACAGAAGTCTCTTTCCATCATGCATTTCCCTGGCAGCTGGATAGCGCAATCTTTTTAAACTATTTTTGTCTTTTTTTAACCAAATATCAGACCGATCTCTTCACGCCTGTAGTTTCTGAAGTTTATATATTGCATCCCCATTAAAGAGAACAGGCACATTTTATTAAATGATTAAAACCAGACAATGTTATTTACAAAGGCATCAGTAACTTGACAAGCTTGCAGTCCTTTATCCAGGGCCTAGAACCGAGAAGGACGTTCCATCTCCTCCTGCAGATTGCACATTACAGACCTTGCACTACGGGGGTATCACGTTCTTTATGCAAGCGCAAACAACACTTGCAGGCCAAGAGACGAGCCGAGATATCCTATCTGCCCCACAGAGCTTGTAGGGGCGAGAAAAAACCGCTCGGTAATCCAACAGCCAATACAGGCAATTGTTACAGGACAAAGGATAAAAATGACAGCAGGCTAACGAGCAGTAACTCACTAGATGAGCTTTTGAGCTCGGGGGCTTCACGGATTTCAGCTTTCAGAAAAATAAATCCTTCCCTCACCCAGGCACTTTTAAACTTTGTCTCGCGAGGCTGTCCCTCCACCAACCCCACTCTTGCTGTTTTGGGCTCCGTTCCCTACAGCCAAGGGATTTTTGGTAGCGTAGTTCTCAAAACGAACCACAGAAGTCCATGTTTGGCCACGGTTCAGCCCTGTTTTGCTCTGCAGTCCCAGTCCTATTGCTTTGCATCCCAAAGCCACGCTGGTCCTCCGTGCAGCCACAGCACAGCGCAAATTCATGAACTACTGAAGCAGAGACTGCTGAATTACTTTTCAGTTCTGCCGACTCAGCTCCTCACCAAGCATGTGCTATGGATCACTTTTCCTCGCTTATTAGCCAACATTTGTTCAACTTCTGATAATTTTTCCAAAACTCCCGCTTAAAGGCGACCAGTGGGACTTTGTCTATACCAGCATGCCTGGCTGTGTTTACGTAGGAGAAGATTTCTGCTGAAATCCCCTTGCAAAACCCTTTGCTGATCCTGTGACGACTCGTGTAGGACCCAGCCAGGGTCAGAGTTTGAAGCGCCGGCTGCACAAGGTCCATGTCGCTGATCGTTGTCAAACCCAGCGTAACTCATGAGAAAGAGAAGAGATTTCCCAGGGGCACACAAACTACCTGAAGACTCAACAACCACCGTGTAACTGTGGGTTCTTTGGCAACATTTCGCAACTACAGACCCAGAGTGCACGGGTGAGCAACCGGCACGACATCAAGCAAAGGGTCCTTGGACGGCAGCTCAGATGTGAAACTTGTACCAGCAGCTTGGTTGGGCCTGGCCACAAATTAGCACGCTAACATTAACTTGCCCTGCTGCCCGCCTTTCCTTTGCTTTCCTCCCCTGTGCTCCAGTTCTCTAACACTACATACCCCACCTTTTATTCTGGCTGTCCCAGGCCACGGGATTAGGGCAAAACATGACTGCTTTACATTGCAAACTGGTGCTTGCTGTCATCCAGATCTGCTTTTCTGGTGCGCGCCCTAGCAGAGCTCCTCAGGAAGAGCAGTCCTTGTCAGGGTGGGTCTTTCTGTGTGCTATGCCATGCTTTTTCCTCCAAAAGTCACTTTTCCTACCCAGTAATTTCGCAAAAGTATAAACTCTGAATGGGAAAGGAAACCACATCACACGTACGACAGGCTGATACACTGCGTTTGAGGGAACAGGAAGAGGCCTTGTGCAATCAGCGAGAGGATTACAGGAAGCCCTGGGCTGTCCACAAGACAGACAAGCTGTAAAACACAGCCAAAGAATCAAAACTCAGATAAGGTCTGTCAAAGTAAAAAAGGAAAAAAAAAAAATCTACAGCCCTTTGCATAAATTTCTGCAATGTTAAGAACACACGGAGAAAGAATTGTGTTTGGCTGCTTCTACAAACCAATTCCCAGTTGCTTTTGTGACACATTAATTACGTACGCCATAAAGCTTGCAGGAAACGAGATCGTTCCTCAAAACCCATGAAACCGGCAGAAGGCCTTCAAGAAGGAAGATTATTTTTTACACGTGCTGAAATGACCTGCAGCAGCTGTGCTGTGGTAATCAATGGGGGCATACGAAATGAGGAGCAACACTTGCCGAGCGGACTAGCTGGGGAAAACAGGGCGCTGGAGCACGTAAGCTCACACAAGGTCCGTCCGCCTGCCCGCCTGCACCTGCCCGCCCGTGAACCGCCCCTTCCTCGGGCTGAGGTGCTGAGCGAGGGGGTTCTGCTGCCAAGCCCGGGGCCAGCGCGGCGGCACCTCTGCGGGGGGGACGGAGCTGCGGGACGGCCCAAACGCCAGGCGGGGAGAGGAGGGAGGCCTTCTGCAGCCCCGCCGAAGCCCTCTTCCGCCTTGCCAAGCCCCTTCTCTCCCCACAGCGACATCCTCCCGGCGATGCTCCCACGAGCAGCCGCGACCGCGGCCCCCCCCGCCCGCCCGTGGGTCAGGGGCACAGCAGCAGCGGGAGTTTAGGGAGGTACTAAACCCACGGCGCTCCGCTCCTAGCGCAGCTCTTCCCGCCCTCCTCGCGGGACGGAAACCCTCTCCTCACGTCCCCACGCCCGTCCCGGCTAACG